CACAGACCAAGACTCCCAACCAATCAGGATGAAGAAAAAAACATTCTGGCACAGCAGTAGGCTAGCCCCAAACTTAAAACTGAAACAACTGTAAAAGTCTGACTCACAGACGAATACAATACAGAAGCCTGATGATGGCAGATGAGATTCTGCCAAAACGTTGCTGCAAGTTTAAAAGCACAACTATAATGATGTGGGAAAATACCTGAACAAAGCTGAATACCATACATGTAAGTACCCGCGAAAACTTAAGAATACACACACACACACACACACACACACACACACACACACACACACAGTAATTCATATTCATTGCCAAAAATGTTCTGCCTTATGCACAGAATCCTGTTAGATTTTTCAGGGGATATTTGGACCCCAGTTCTTTTATGCATACTGATCCAAGAGTGCTTACATCCTTTTAACTTCTGAAATATATAGCCTACATTCACTTCAAACACACCATAATGTGTTAATACAGGGAGCATAATACAGGGAGGGTACAGGTAGCCCTCAACCTTCCACCATTCATTTAGTGAGTTACAATGGTACTGAAAAAAGTGACATGAGTTTTTCATGCTTATGACATTGTGGCCTCCCCATGGTCAAAGCAAATCAAAATTTGGGCATTTGGCATGTCTTTATGACAATTGCTGTCCCCTAATCATGTGATCATCATTTGTAACCTTTAAAGCTGGTTCTGGTAAGCAAAATCATATGCAGAAGCTAAATTTACTTAATGACTGCATGATTCACTTAACAGCTGCAGTGATTTGTTTAAAAACTGTAGCAAAAAAGTTGTAAAATAAGGCACCATCCACTTAACAACTGCCACTTAGCAACAGAAATTTTGGGGTCAATTGTAGTCATAAGTTGAGGACTACCTGTATATAGCTATTATATCTTAGAAGCAAATGTAACAATCTTACATTTGTAAATTTAACCTTAATAAAATAACTTCAGAATTTTTAAGAAACCAGCATATACACCTTTTCTGACTATGCAACAAAAGCTAATCTTAAATCTCATTAATTTTGGCAGGAAAAAATAATAAAAATTGGCATGCTGGGACAATTTGGAATCCTTCAATTTTCATGCTAAAAAGATGGAAAAGCATAAGAACAGAACAGTATTATTTTGTCATTTTAAACAAATGATCAAGTTACTGATTTATGCACATTGGAACCATGAAGGAAAACTGTTCTAAACTTTGCCTAGAGATAGATAACATGTAACATTAACAGTGGAGTACTTTATCATTTGATTTATAGGGTTTTTTTTAAACATTAAAAGGTTTGTGTTCTCATTTGAAGCACATGCAGAACGCTATTATTTGGCTACATTGAATAACATGCAGAAGTGAGATGAAATTTAAGCTGAAGAACAATTTATATCAGAAGCTTGCAGATGATGTAATAATGAGGACCCTGAGGTTTTCTGCCAATCATCAGGAAGTTGTGAGACTATGAGGTCACCAGTTATATATTGTAACCTTAATATTGTAAAAACCAGAAAATGTACATCCGTAATAAGCTACATATTCAGAGCCACATTTCTTTCCTTAAATACAAATTTTAAAGGATAGTAAGTAGCTAATAGATGCCTGATGTCTTTCTAAGTGCCCTTCAATGCTTGTATCTAACTCCTTCTCTGTCTAAATCTCATGTGCCTTCCATCCTGGACTGGATGGAATTTTGCTACACAATGAAATCTTAGTAAGCCTTTCCTACAAGTACCCAGCGATTAGTCAGACCATTGCTTCTATAATTCTTACCTAGCATACTACATTTAGGCATTGTAAGGACCCAGATTAAGAAAGATTGGTTTAATTGTTTAGTTGAATATTTAGCAAACCAATTAACAGCAATGTTCTCTCTATATCAGGTGTCAAACTCATGTCATCACAGCATCATGTGACTTATTACAACTTTTCCCTTTGCTAAAATTGGGTGAGGATATGGCCAGTGCCTGACACATCTGGCCCATGGGCCATGAGTTTGACAGCCCTGTTCTTTATGTTTTTGCATACTTATAATGTGAGATGCTGAAGATACTACAACAGAAAGATAAAGATCATGGCAGCAAATACACTTCTGCATTTTCATAGATAGCTTCTGCGGCAAACACATACAATGTGAATTACCTGTTGACTCTTTAAAGTTACAAATGTTTTTATGTGTTTGCTGTGTAAAAATAAAGTATACCAAGCAATCAAGTTTACTGGATAATGGTGTGAAGTTCTAACTGCTTCAGTCAAGAAATTATTCACAGATACACAGAGAACACTGTTATGCATTGATGTGGGTGTTGTTTAACACAGCTATTTGCATTCCATTAAAAGCTGGAACTCTTTTTCTTGATAATAATGAAACTTATTCTGAAACATAAAATCTAATTATAAATAAAAGCGATAATTCTCCTTCTGTTGCCCAATCCATAAGATTTGCTCCTGCAAGACACACCCAAATGTTTATTGTTCATAGGTTTCTAAACAAAACTTTTAAATGGCACCACTGTTAGTATGTATTATATACATCTTCTCTACCAAGTGAGATAATTAAGATACTCATATTCGCATACAATCCTTTTGAAGTACAGTTGACTAACGGTACCAATAAAGTATCTATTAAGTCAGATTTTCCTCCAGATCACTGCAAGTACAACTCTCAACTGGCATTGTATTACTGGCTAGGATTACTGGGATTTGTGGTGCAGCATATCTAAAGAATGCCAGAAAAAAAATGCAGCATTAAACATTCTACATTTCCAACATAAATACCATTTAAGCCTGAAGTTCTTTAATTATTTTCATTCACATTTTACATATGTAAACATTGTAATAGCTTAAAGATATTTATTTAAACCCACCTCACAGAGCTGTTGTGAGGATATTTAATGCTTATGGGGAGGGGGGGGGAGATTGTGTACATTTCAAGTAGCATTAATGAGAATAACATTGAGTCCAGCTGGTGAAACACTCAGATTTATAGATTAGAAATCTGCAACAAATTCTTAAATAACAAATGTAACATTTGGTAACTATATATAATATTTCAATTCTTTTTCTATTGGCTATAAAAACTGCTGTTTTGTAGTTTATCTGTTCTATTTGTTAGCATTTAACCCCTATGTGTTAGAAATTCTGATTAAAAAGATCACTACATTCTGAGAGCTGGATTCAAAGTTCTCTTGCTGGAGGAATGTAGAAGAAATTTTTGCCAATGTTTCCTTTTTCAGAGAGAGAGATGGATGCTGTAGACAATGAAGGGATTTTTCTAAACAGCATATAGTAGGTGGTGAACTGCAAGGAGAGTAAAGAAATGGAATCTAAATTCCTCCTTTGTGCAGAGTCAAAGAGGGAACATACAGGGTTCCACCCAAAAATGGAAGCGCGTATCAGAATTGCAAAATAGATCAAATCTCTTAAACTGTAATAATGTTTTGTTCAAATATATTAGGAGAAATAGCCACAACTCTACTGAATAAAAGGTAATTTCTGAGTTACTTCAAGAATTTAAAAATCCTGTTTCCTCCCTCCATTCCTGCTATGCCCAATTCAACAAATGTCTTACTGGTTTGTCAAGCAGTTGTTTTCTAGCTGAATCTGGAAAGTTGGATTTAAACATTGTTTCCAAACAAGGACAATAGTGTATTTCAACTATATGTAGAAAACATACATCTTACTTTAGTAAAATTAAATTACATCTGCCAACTAGTTTTTGTGCAGATTTCACTGGATTAGCTGTTCAGTTTAAAAATGCATAATATAGGGTGGGAAAGTTTCAAGCTTTAAGGGAAGCCATTTATTTTAAAAAATACGATTTATTGTTTTTCCTGAAAAGTGACAGGAATGTTTTTTTTCAATTCAATGATTTTTGCAAGCTTCGGGAAAGTGAGGGATTCAGGATTTCAGGAAGGCAGGAGAAATGCAAAATTTTCTTAAAGCTACATGGTGGGATGCTACAGAATATCTGAACACTACTGAAGATTTCCATATAATATTTATACTTTCAAAAGTACAACATTAATACAGGTCCATCTGTTAGAAATAAACAGCAGTTGGTTAGCTCTACTGGGCTTCATTAAGTGTAAAACCAGTTTACAAATGCTGAAAAGCAGCAGTGGTCCAATAGTCACTATTTCACATAAATTTGTCTTCTTTTCCAGAAAAGAGTTCCCAAATTAATTTTACTATTATAATAATAAAACATTAAGAAAACATTCCAAAACATGCCACAATTACTATTCACAAATAAAGTTAAAGAAACATACAAAATCTTTCACTTAATACTGTTAAATAACAATAATCAATTACAAGATTTCCTGAACAGAAATGATAGGACCCCTGAATGTTTTACAGTGAACATCAGGAAAAAAAATTAAGTTACCTAGGAATATTTTTCATGATATATCAGCCAAAGATTTACATAACCATTTCAAAATATACTAATAAAGATTTACAGCCTCTGGAAGATGCACTAAACAAAGAGGTTCCAAAAGGTGAACACAAATGCTGAAAAATACTGTTCCTATACCAGGAGGTACTTATGATACTCACTGAGATACATAAGCTTAGTAGTACTGTAATATGATGACTTAATTTCAATAAACAGGTAACATCTAAAACCTTTAAAACCCTCCAAGTTCTCATATTCCGCGAAGCCTGCATTATAAAGTAACAGATTCTTTACTGTGGACTTGCATTCTTTAGTGGCTTTCCAAACAGCCACCAAAGCAGGCGGCAATTAGAGAAATGAGCTGGGATGCTTTGCACCCACAGTTTGCCTTGAATCACTGGAACGTTTAAGGAAATACCAATATCAAAAATATTCTAACAAGTACGTCTATTAGAAAAAGTTAGAGAAGAGAGATAATAGTTAAGTGTCACATATAAGTGGTTTATCATTTCTGATATAAGCCAAAATAAGAGATCTGGAACCTGATCCATATAATTTTTCATTTGTTTGAATTGGTATCTGTACTACTAAGTGCTTTAAAAAGATATTTGGTAGCATTCTAAGTACTTTACATCTAATGTTAAATCAGAAATTTACAGGCCAAGAACAAGAGAGTGTTAAAGTAAATAGTATCTTTTGTCAAGAAAGCTGTGTTTACATTCCAGGAAACATTGCAGTTAAAGAAAAAAACAAGATATAAAACTGCAGCAATGAAGAGAAGAGAAACAAGGCATTCACATAGCATATACAGTAAACCCATTGCAACTCTTTCAGGCATTCGGTTCTTAACTATACAGACAGTAGTTATTTAGCAGCAATGATTACACAATAAATAATGCACTGTGTTTCTCAGTCCTGCATAAAAATTGCAGCTACTGTTACATTAACAGTTATAACCTACTGGATCTAATGGAGAAGACCTTAATTTGACTGTACAAAAAATTGTCACATTGTGACAACAAATATATATATATATATATATATATATATATATTTACATATATATTTAAAAAAAATAACCAGTAGGTCCAAAATAAAAAGACGGCACTGTGAGGAAGACAGTGTAGACAAACAGATTTCAAGTCCACCAAGGGAAGAATTGCCTTTAGACTAGAGTCCTTGATGGAAGCAAAACCAGCCTTGGTTTGAAATAGCACAGCCTGCCTCAGAAAAGCATGCTTTGTCTTCTGTTCTTCCCATGTCCTAGAACATAAAACATGTATTTTGTTAAGAGATTAAGGTGACGCTTCAGTATACATACTGATACATATCATACAAACAGATTTAGAACGGAGCATTATATTTAAAGCAATCATCTCATGGAGAAACTGAATTTGGTCCAGGCTAAAAACTGGGACACCATGAATATGGTGCCTTAGCCCTGCCTTAGCCATTAAAGTCAGCTGGGTGACCTTGGGCCAGTCGCTTTCTCTCTTAGCCCAACTCATTTCACTAGGAATGTTGTGGGGCAAATAGGTGGAGGAAAGTACATTGGATATGTCCACCACCTTGAGTTATTTGTAAAAATAATAAAGGTGGGATGCAAATGAGCAAATCTATGCTTAGTCACACATTGTGCTAAGTTACAGTAGTTTGGTTCTGGCTTAGCATGATGTTTGAATTCAGCCAATGTGGTTTGGAAATTTACCATATATGGCTTAATAGTATTTGTGAATCATGGCTTAACAACTTGCATTTAAACAAATCAAAACTTAGTATAAGGAATGGCTCCAACCATTCACAGAATGTACCTGAATACATCAGTATATGATGCAACAGTGCCAAGCTACTTAATAGTGCTTTTTTTCCGTGATCCACAAGATCATAAAGAAAAAAAAATCCAGATTTTGCATACTGCTTTAAAGAAAACCTCATTTGAGGAATCCATGGAATTCTAACTATTTAATAGGTTTTAATTGTTCTACCTCATGCAATCCTGAGAAAAAAAATGCAAATATTACTTTACATACCTGTCTCTGGATAAGTGGAATTTCGAAAGCCTGGATCTTTTTGGAGTTGAATTTCTTTCAAAGTGAATATTGATACACCTGAAACAATACATGTAGTGACTTTTTCCCCCAAATAAGTGTCTCACTTTCAAAAATATATTTAGAATCAGAAGAAAACTTTATCAAACAATATTTATAGAATGCGCCAATCTGAATAATCCTGAAGGATTTACAGGAATTGCAGCAAAGAAAAAAGAAAATAGTATTTTTCTTTCTTGCTTTTCATCTCTGCTTCCAATCACAGCTGGACAAAAGCAGGAAGAGCTAAAAGCCTGTCTAAATTTGATTTGAACCTGATATTGGGTATCAATAAAGGTCTTTCAGATGAAAGATACAAGGTTAATAACTGTTGGTTTAAACACAACCTAACTCAAATACTTTTGAGTCAATGTAATATTTAGAAAGGTTCTTAATTTTTTGAGCAAGTAGAGTAAACCTCATAACCAAATGCCCAGCTCATATCAAAGGCAACTTACTTTCTGGTAAAATATGTATTCTAGTTCCAAGACTTCTGAAATATGCATGTTTCATAGCCTCTTCTGCTGATATTCTTTTCTTTGATTCATACTGGCAAACAAAAGGATAGATACTATTTTAAAACACAATTGATGCAGGATAGGTTTTATTAACTTCAAATCCCAATGTTTGGTCTTTAGTACCTGTAGCTACAGAAGAATTCAGGCAAAATGACTGGGATAAAATCTAGGGAACTGCTATCAGTAAAGGTAAGTGAAAGCCTCCAACTTTTCAGCCTGGGAAGCACATTTAAAATTTAATAAAGATGTATTGGACATTTTTTAGGGGTCAGAAGTAATCGTGGAAATAAAATTTTAGAGATGCAACATTACCACTTCCCATTCTTTTTAATGAAACTAAGCGTTTAAAGTGGTAAAAAGCTCAAGTGGGTCAGGAACCTAGTGCACACTAAGGGAAGTGGCAGTGGGCACTTCTTGGGAATATCAGAAATGAACAAAGTGAAACAAAGAAATTAATGGACTGACTCAATGGCCCACGGTACAAATACACTAAGACGCATTGTTTGTTAGATTTTCGGTCTCATTTAAAGACCTATTATTTAACACTTTTGGCATAGCACACTGGATGAGTGCAGCCCAAAATAGTAAGGTTCCATATATAAATTCAGACAAAAACTGTAGTATGCTTTCTTGCCTTTATTTGTATATGAGCACGTGCAAATTTATTTTTTCTGTTGACTTTCAAACCTTTTAAGGAATTCATCATTTATGTACTTTTTCAGGGTTTTACTATATGAAATTATCAACTGAAGGAAGAAATATTTGATTGAAGGAAGAGATCTTTACAATAAACAAAAAAAAAGCTGCAAGAGCAACATCTAAATAATGCTCTTGTTTGAACCAGTTTTGTATTCTTATAATCTATCAAATAAAGAACTTGAATAATACACACTGAAAACTACATGTGTAAAGAATACAAAAAACAACTTACTTGAAGAAATTTTACTATCAGTTCGATCCCTTCTGAATCCAGCCTAGAAATAAACCATATATTCACTCTTTACTCACACTTTCCAGATTGAATTATAATAATTTAAATAATGTGTGTGCTTTTGCATAAGAAACACTTCCAATTTCAAAATATCTTGAATGTAATTGTGGATTCTACTTAACACTAATAAGGTGATATATCTACTGTTATTACTAAATGTATTGTATTAATAATATTATTTCATTGTATTTAATATAAAAATAAAAAGCAATACTTTTAAATAAACTGAAGTATCATGGAACTGGCATTGAAAATATATAAGAATGTATTACACATGCTTACCACCAAAGAAAAGTAATTTATTTTGAAAATGCAAAAGTTTTAAATCACTAAATGAATGTAAGTCCACATGAACTGGACAATAATTGCCTAATCTAATTCAAATAGTGTAAAGGAAAATGTGTAGCAAACAGATGCCTAAGCAAAATTAATTAAACCCTGGAATATGGGTTTTCAAATAAATTACAGATTAACATTACTTCCTGAGAGTCACTGGCTTGAGATTTCTTTATTATACAGCGGCTGTCTTTAGCCTTTATTTGAACTTTAGGATAAACTGAGTATCACAGAAGGGGACTTCCACTTATGCACTACCAACATCTTTAGCTTTTTTCTTTTGTGATTGCTAAATCTTCTCTGGAAGTTTTCCCAACTCTCTTGAACAAAACTGAAGACTATTTCAAGGAAGGCAATACAATATGTTGGAGTGCCTAATTATTTAAAACTGGATTGCCACAACACATTTTAAATAAAACAAAACAAACTATTACAACATGCTATTCAACAAATCTATGTATAGTTATAGTTAAAATTTAGAACTTCAACAATGTAAGATTCCTGGAATCAATGTTCACTTTTGTAGTTGATGCCCTATTTATAAAAACTATTAATTCATATGATTAGCAGCTATTAAAAAGGTAAAGGTTCCCCTTGCACATATGTGTAGTTGTTTCCAGCTCTAGGGGGTGGTGCTCATCTCCGTTACCAAGCCGAAGGGCCAGCGCTGTCCAAAGACATCTCTGTGGTCATGTGGCCGGCATGACTAAGTGCTGAAGGCGCGCAGAACGCTGTTACCTTTCCACCAAAGTGGTCCCTATTTTTTCTACTTGCATTTTTACATGCTTTAGAACTGCTAGGTTGGCAGAAGCTGGGACAAGCTGGGAGCCTACTCCGTTACGCAGTGCTAGGGGTTTTAACTTCCGAACTGCCGGCCTTTCTGATCGACAAGCTCAGTGTCTTAACCCCTGAGCCACTGCAATAGTAATATACAAATAGCAGCTATTATACACATTCAATTATTCTACTATTCTTTATGCAAAGGTACGAAAGCTCACTGGACAAATATCCACTAAAAATGAGAATAATCCATTTAGAATTAATCTCTCAACAAAAAGAGTTCCTAGTGAAGGGTTTTTTTTTTTTTTTTCAGAGAAAGTACTTATGATATACGTGCAATTTGAATTTTAAATACCTTGGAGCGTGGTTGATCAAAGGTTGTTGCTTGTATTTGGGAAAGTTGTAATTCCTAAACTCATCACTGGAAGTAATGCCTGGCCATGTTTCTTGTGAAGGAGTTCCTGAGTTGAAAGATTAAACAAATCAACATAAGGGGTACTAATCCCATGTAGACATTAAAAGAAATAAAGTAAAATTTTAAATAACAGCTTCCAAAATAACTGATTTTAACAAAAGTACAGTCTTAAAATATCAAAATCATATCCCCTCTTTATAAACATATAAACATTGCAATTACACTGGAAGTCTGAAGTTTTCAGAAGTTCTCTTAATAAGAGCAAAATAAACTCACAGCTTTAAGTCAAACATATTTACCTAGAAGTCTGAAAATTAAGTGCAATTCATCTTCAACTGTTGACCCAGGAAAGAGAGGTCTTCCTGATGCCATTTCAAAAAATATACATCCAACTCCCCTTTAAGAGAGAAAAAAACTCAAATAAGTATTACAAAGGAGATGAAAGCATTTAAATATATAATTTTAATAACAGGTGAGATGGCCTACTTAACCTAATCGTTAAGGTAATGAGATCATGTAACTGCCAGTGAGTTAGTATCCCAATAGTACATTATTGCTTTTTCTTTGGTTGTGAAAAATAATGAACAAGATTTGTATTCACTTGAAATACATTTTTCCAGTCTCACTATTGAGATTTTACATATGAAGATATTTAAAGTTCAGGGATTCAAATCAACTAAATTTTGAGATTTTACAAGTAAGCAACGTTTTCTTTGCTTGCTTCCTTCTTCTTTCCCCAAAGTTTCAAGTGTGGACTAGAGAACCATCTCCAGCATCACTGCTTATTATTAACAAAGGTTTTAAAGTTAAAGGAAAAAAATAGGCAGGTATGTTTAATTTGAATGAAAACAAGCAGCTTAATATTTGAGACTCACCACATATCGATTTGTGTGGAATATTCAGAAGATCCAAGGAGAACATCTGGAGGCCTATACCACAATGTGACAACTTCATTTGAATATGTCTTCGTAGGAACAGATTTTGCTCTAGCCAGGCCTTCAAAAATAAAGTACAAAATGAATTTCCTTAGCCCTATTCCATCTTTCTTCAATTTTATATTACATAATTCTTTTTCACAGAAGTTTCACCTGGTTCAAAAACTATAGCTAAGCATTTGTTTGCTGCTATAAAACAGGAGCATTTATTTTTGACAGACTAGTGCTTTCTACAGAATGGCCAACTGTATGCACTCTTAGCAACTTTGATTAAAAATAACATGTAAAATTAATGGTGTGTAAAAACATACCTGTTATATCCTTCTGGTCTCTTTTGTTTCTACTTTAGATGTAGCACTCATGTTTAGAAAATCATGCATCCATGTTATGGAATTACTACTGCTAACAAATCATTCTGAGAAACACTTTTGTCATTTGTGTTGATGCTTCTGCTAAACCTCCTCACCTATCCTAACAGCAGTCTCCAGATAACTATGGCCTTTCAACTATCCCTTTCCCCTGCAGCCTGGTAATTCGGGTAGAGATTAATGTCTTCCTGTACTGCCAGAAAGTTTGCATTCCTTTTTATGCATCTAGAATGACAGTCTTTTATTAGTGAACAAAAAAAATACACCAAAATAAAGCAAAGGAGAAGAGTAATAATAATAATACTGTATTTGTGGTCACAGAACAAAACACAAGTACAACAAAAGAAGAACATGGGAAAATTAATCATGAACAATTGGTCATCAAAAACTTGACTAAGGGGAATTAGTGTTCTCCTCTGATGGTTACAGCTCTTAAAAAAAATTGGAAACTGAAGAAATGATATATGAGGAGCCATCCCCTAGACAATATAAGAACAAATTTTTCATCGGGTCTGTTTCAAGGAGAGACAGTAACTTAGATCTGCCTGTGTTATACATAGGACATGCTCCACAGTTTCAACCTCAGCTCTGTCACAGGGGCATAGCCGCTCATTAATTGGGAGCCTCTTAAATCGCCCATCCAGTAGTGCTGAGGGCAAAACATTAAAGTGAGCTAGGGAGAAAGCTCTTCTATACTTGGGAATGGTTAGAGTGTAAAAATAGGAAGCCATCCTCAGTCCGTAATTATTAAATTGGCTGAAGATCAGAGGGGAGCAAGTTTTCTTAGCTCTGGCTCATAGATATTGCAAGTCAAAGTCCACAAGCCATTGGACTATCCTAAGTTGGGCGAAAGGAGAAGAGGAAAAGAAGACATGAAGGAAAGAGAAAGATTAAAAAAATAATAATGTTAGTTCCACATGTTTAGCCATATCTAATTTCTGAAAGTGGTCCTCAGGAGAAATAAACAAAATATTCCTTGAGATGAAAACATTATCCATCCTGGCACATATTTGCAGTCCTACTAAGGAGGAAGTGCCTCTGGCAACTTTCTCCAATCTGGTGTCCACCCAATGACTCTTATTGGCTATCCAGCTTGGACACGAAGGGAACTGTATGCCACATCATCTGGAAACAACTTTAGCCTATAGTACAGGAAACTTAGAACTGCTTTGTCAAGAAACTGCATAAGATATTATCTGCAGTATTTCTGAGTGTGAGTGGAAAGTGCTACTGTAACAAGAGTCACAAAAGGGAAGATATCCTTACACAATAAACAGTTTCTTTGAAAAGCATATAGAAAGTACCAAGTGACAAAGGTGGAATAGGCTGTTTTTTTTAAAAAAAAATATTAAACATAATGCCCAGAATGTTCCTGGGAGGCTGTAAAAACCAGAGGAATCTAATAAACTGTTTGTTTGTTTGTTTTTTTGGGGGGGCGTAAGGGGGGGAACAAATGGGCAAGAGCCGCTCTCTATGTTTTGTGTTCATCCTGCACATTTTAAGTCGTTTTTCTTCCAAGAACAGTTTGATTTTCCCTATCACCTAAAAATTAATACTGGCTCTCAGGCAATTACCCAAACATTTTTGGTTCTATAACACATATAGCTGGCAAATCAGAGAAGGAACATAATCCATAGTTCAAATTGAAACAGCACTGTAGCGTGCTTTTACAATCAGAAACTACACAGTGCAGTGTCCCTTAAATCAATTGAGCAAAACTCAGCAAATGTGAATTGTGGCTATCACAGTATGCAAATATGTATGTAAGTATCTGTGTATAAACACACACAGACTCATATTCCTAAAACTAACGTAGGCATGAAAGGTGTTCATAGAAGTAAAATAAAGCAAATATTTTTACTAACCAAAGTCTGCTAGCTTTAATTCTCCTCTTTCATTAATTAGTAGATTTTGTGGTTTTAGGTCCCGGTGTAGTACTTTTCTTCTGTGACAATAGGCCAAACCACGCAGAATCTGGTATAAAAATAACTGATAGGGGAGAGGGGATTAATAAAAGTTTCAGGAGCAATAACCAAACCTACATTAATTGAACCTCAAAGCTGCTAAGGTAATACAACAATGTTTATCAATACATAGAAAAGAAAAAACATTTGAAACTATAAGCTGTTTTCATATGCAGGTTGTAATTAGTTGATTTATCTTTGTTACAGAATATAATAATTTTAAATTTTATTTATTTAGCTTGGAATGCAAAACTTTCTGTGTCTGATTATCTTCCCTTCTGACCCTGCAGACATCTGTTTAAAATGCAATAAAAGCCAAACCACAGGTTAATAAGCCTGCTGAATGATATAACAACCATTTCTAATAATGCGTTTCTATCTATGTTTAATCACATATGTCATACTTTCATAGCCGTGGAAAGTTTATTTTGATGCAACTGTATTCCCTTCTCTGTTTTTCTTATGCTTCTGCAGTTTTTTTTTCCTGCATTTTTAAAATATCTGGCTAACACCTACAGTAACAACCAGATACTCAAAGGCACTTCTTTTTCATACAGTATAGCGATTTTCTCATAAAAGCAACAAGCTCTGGCTTATTCATACTTATTACATAAGACATGCATTCTGCTATATATTTTAGTGCTCAGACATAGTTTGCAAAGTGGTTTTAGAACAAAAAGCTTCTTCCTGGGATTTGCAAACCAATTTTTAAAAGAGGTGTGAAAACCATTATGTTCTCAATGCTTTTCATGGACCTTTATTATTGTGTCATATTAGCTACCCACCTTTCTACTGATTCTCCGCAACCTGGAATAAAATCCTAAAATCCTGCATAGATTTTTCCCCCTCATTTTTTTTTGAATCAGTGCATTCATGTCTCCAATTCTAATATTTGCAGACATACTGCATCAAAAATGGGCAAATTAAAAATAAAACAAACCCTGCTCTGAAGTGCTAATTGCTAGTAACATATTAATTATTTGCACAGTGACTAGAATGATTCATTTTATTTGCCTTGTTTTATTCTTGTCTTTGATCCAAGATGCGGAGAAAGGTGCATTTCCTCCTATTTATTGGCTTCCCATTTGTGTTGAAGGTGAATTATAGCAAGGAATACAGGAGTGATTCACCCAGGGGTACATTAAGAAATCGCTGTACTGATCATGGGTTTGAATAATTTCTCATGCATAAACTCAAATTTTCTACTCTCGAGTAATAATTGTCCTGCTAGATTATATATGGGAAACTGTGTCTGAAATATCATCACTCTCACAGAACCCAACGAGTTTAGGTTTTTATTCCACATCCAATATACTACTGGTTACATTAGCACTCAGTGCTATTCAAGAGGAGATTTGTGTGTAATAACTGCAAACTCACACTACTTCCAGGAGAGTTCACTTATGTGAATAAGTACTATGAAAAAGCAGAATATTACTATCCCATTTTCCTATAACCATTTTCTAGCAAGCCAGGGAACTCAATGATAAGAATACTAGATTTTCCTATTCTAAGCACAGAAATCTAAATGCAGCCTGTTTCTCCACTCAGCCAACACTGTCTACTCTGATAGTTCTCTAGAACTTCAGGCAGAGCAAAGTCTTTTTCATGATCTATTTCCTTTTTCATAACTGAAAATACCATCTAAGTACCTGCCACACTGAACAGAAGAAAGGAACCAACTGAGAGCATTGAAGAGGTTTTTCAAAGCTTGCCAATTTATCCATAATGACCAGGGCGTCCAAAAGATGGAGTTATACACCTATGAGTTGCATGTGTCACAGAACAGTTTTTTCCCCCAGACAGCTATTTATCTTTCAATATATATAGTTATAAAACTTTAGCTATCCTGTCACATTACTCTTGAAATTTACTCTAGAAATGGTCTTTCATTCTCTTTTCAAAAGATGCTTGTTGCCTCTTCCATGTCTGGATAAACCTACCCATACCAGTAAGTTAATGATTTACATTTGGAATCTATTAATATCTCTATCCGATATAAATCAACAGAATTTCAAAGAAAAGTTGCGATGATTTTCCTACCCCAACCCTGCCCCCATCCACATTAAAAAAAGCCCCAGAGGGTTAAAGTTGGAGACAAGAACAGTTGGATGGTTGTATAATCCAAATCTCATGATGTTCTAGTACATTATGCTGTCAACCACATTTATTCTGTCAGCTGTTGTTTATTGAGCACACTACCCTTACTTGAAAGAAAGTGTAACAATATAAAAATGTCTATTGGATGGCAAGAATCGATTTATGAAGTCAAATTCCTTACATATTTGTTGCAATGAGTCAGGTTCTCATAGTCAATGTTTAAATACATTTTAATAATGAAATTCATTTTTTAAAGAGAAAAAATATTTAGAAAAATGTATGAACATGGATAGCATTTGTATTCAGGGAAAGTTCAAATTGAAAATTAGAGATCAGAACTCACCTTTACATTATGCACACTCATAATGTTCCCACAGTCATCCATATATTGCTTTAGGTCTTTGTCCTGTCAAAATAAAAATAATTTGCATTAAAGATAAGAAGACATTTTATTATTTATTGTTAATTATTTACTTTGGTGTATATTGTGCCTCTAACTGAGGACAATGGAAATAACATATGTTAAACATATGTTAAAAGCTAGCCTTAAGGTGTTTATTTCTTTAAAATTCTAAATTAGCTTGTTTAAAAGGGTCACCAAAGTAGTTACAATGCAGCTTTTGATTAATTCATTGTTTCATGAGATGATTAACTAACAAAAATGTTTCAGATGACAGATCTATTTCTAATTTTAATCCGTATTTGAGAAAAAAAGGTTTTTGCCTTAAACAGAATTCAAAAAACATCTCCATGCACGTTTACAGTCTGAACATTTTGCTCACATTGAACATAATTAAGTGGTTTTTTTAAAAAAATAAGGAGACCTAAAGAAGTGCTGCATGTCTTATACCAATCAGCTAGTGAAAAACATTTTTCCAGGTACCACTGTGAGTTCCTAGAAAACAATTAAAATTATGGCATCTAAAAGACTACAAAAATTACCCTTCTTCTTTGCTTCTTACCATATGTCTATCTCTATAGCTTTCAATGAATAAACTAAACTCTTGAGAAAATTTTTAAAAAAACTTACCAGATATTCAAATACAAGAGTTAATGATTTGTCTGTATGGACAATATCATGTAACGTAACAATATTTGCATGTTTTAGATCTTTTAGCAATGACACTGAAAAAAAGAACAGAATAAACTGTCAAATACAGAAATTAGTGAACTAAACTATATTTTTACAGGTAATCCTCAACTTACGATCACAATTGAACTCAACATTTCCATTGCTAAACATGACAGTTGTTAAATGAGTTTTGCTCCATTTTACAACCTTTCTTGCCATAGTTGTTAAGTGAATCACTGCCTTTAGTAACATGAAGTGAATCTGGCTTCCTCATTTACTTTACTTCCTACTTTACTTTACATGATCCTGGGACACGCAATCGTCATAAATACATGTCAGTTGCTATGTGTCTGAACTTTGATCATGTGACCACGGGAATGTTGCAATGGCTATAACTTTGAAAAGAAATAGTCTTCAGTCACTTTTTTCAGTGCCATTGTAACTTCCAATGGCCACTAAATGAATGGTGATAAGTTGAGGGCTACCTGTACTATTGGGTGGCAAATGTGTAGTACTAATTTAATTATTTTGATAAGTCTTCAGAAGTAATTAGGAAGAAGTACTTCAGATCTCAGGTGAGCACAGCAGCTTTATGCTATTCATTAAAACAGTGCTTTGTACACCTTAAAAATATGCTGCTGCTTTAAAAATCACTTTAGCTAATCATTGCTAAAGCAAAAAGATCTTTTTCAGGCTTGCATGAAATCTGAAAAAGGATGTGGCTGCTTTAATTAATAGCAGAGAGATACTCTTCTTATGCTTGGTCTAAAGCACAATTTTCAAACAGTTTTATACATACAGCTTTGTAGATTGGTTTAAGAACTTCACATCCAGGAAAAAATAATTCAACTGAAATCAACTACAGCTGCAATTAGCAATTGGCCTAAATTGATCTTTTCAGTGCAATTACACAGAATTTGTATTCTTTTGTGCTCAGAACAGATCTATGAGAAGTGTGATCGTCATCAAAATAGCTTAGATCCAGTTACATAACCTGAGTTGATCAAAATCATACATAAAAAAGCATCAATAGCTATCTTGATGATGAAAAGGAGAAATGAAATGAGGTCTGTGCTGACTCTAAGAGCCTGAAATCAGTGGCATCTGCAGACTTTCACTGCTTTTGTCAGCTCCATCCCTTTTGCAACATAGATAGCAGGGGTGTCAAACTGGTGGCCCATGGGCCGGATATGTCACGCCCAGGCCACAGCAACCGGGGGAAGTTATAAGCCACAGGCCTTCAGTTTATGTTTCCCCTATCCCCAAATTTGTTTCATTCTATGGAGAAATAAAAAATGCTTAAGTCACTTTCTACTCTGGTGTTTCTGAATAGAAACCAAGCATACCAGGCCTACCTGTTTAGAAACAATTACGTAATTGTAATTTCTGATCATGTTTTCATCCAAATTAAAAAGTGTTACTTACCTTCTCTAATAGCTGTGCACGGTGCACCCTCTTCATGCTCTAATCTGATTTCTTTTAAAGCTACTAGATTTTCAGTCAGCTTACTTCTTCCTTTATATACTGTTGCATATGTACCCTGGAATGTATATGAAATTTGATTTACAAATTTTGCATTAAAGGGGAAAAAATAATTAGAACTTTATTAGCCCAGAATCAGATATATATTAATTACAATATTTTCATTGAAAGAACCCAATTTTAAGCATGGTGTTATTGAAAGCATAGCCATTTATGCCTGATTCATAACACTCCCAATATCTTCACCAGTCCAAACAATTTAGGGCCTACTCTAAGTTAGGAAAGAATGTCTACCCATTTCGCATTATTAATCCATCCAGTTTAGTCCTTTGTACTAAGTATGTGCAAACTCTGCAATTCTTGGAAGGGAATGTTGTGGATAACTCTGGAACATTCTGCTTCTCCTCTGGATCATGCCAATCTATCCATTCCAAGGGTGTTTCCCAGAAGTTAATTAATAATCTGGAACCTGTTTATATTGCACTGGACATGATAGTTCAGGCAGGATTGCTTTAGAACTGGCTGAAGGTTTATATTTTGGAAAACAACTGGCTTACCCATGGAACAGAGGGAGTGGTATTACTCTAGAAGTGTAACTGAACCTAATGTTTACAGAACAATAACTTTTGCACATCCCTACAAAGTACTTACCCAGGAACAACCCTCTCACTTTAAAGATAAATTATGTGGGAGAAAACTTCTCTTCCTATCAGTTGAATATTATATCTGTGTATACTTAATCATATACTGATGATAGTGTTAGCTATCATGCACTGATGTTACCTAGTTGGGTAATGAAACTTCTGCAAGCAAACAACAGCTTATGACATTTGTGGAAGCCATCTAACAGCAAAAAATGAAAATTTTGTATTGATTTATTTTTGAAACAAATTCAAATTCACTTGGGGCAGAACAATAGCAATGCAATATAAAGGTATGGAAAAGAATGTTGTATTCATCAATAAAGGAGAATATTTGTAGCTCAGGGTTGAAATGAGGAGTCCTGATGCTCTCTGAGTTTGCTTGTTTTCCTGCAGATGTTTCATTATGCAAACTAGGTAACATCATCAGTGCCAGTAAAGAGTGCGGTTTGCTGTCAGTTTATATTCTGGTGGCTTGCCTATTGGTGTTGGTGGGGGTGGTCTTAGAGATTCTTTGGTTGGGCTGTTTACTGTTGACTCTTTGGCAGTTTCTTGATTGTGGTATTGTTTACAATCTTAAACAGGAGCCATTTACTACATACAATGTAACAACTGCAACAACCACTATGTAGGACAAACAGGCAGAAGACTGGCAGAACATATCAATGAACACCAACTAGCAGTCAGAAGACAATGAAAATTCTTTAATTTCACAACATATTAAATTAACAACAGACCAACAATCGGGTAAACAATACCTCATAATGAAACATCTGCAAGAAAACAAGGGAGCTCAGAGAGCACAAAGGACTCCTCAAATGTATTTATACAGTATATCTATAACAAATACTTCATAATATGTTTATCACAAGTACTTTTGTTAAATAAAATCAATTGTCCACAATTATCATGCAGAAAGCCAAATATTATCACTAAGGAATATATATTCTTTGATTTCCAGTGTGCTCTATCTCTTATTTTGAGCCTGGACAAGTCATTGCCCTTTATTGTCATTTAAAACATAATTAATACTAATTTTGTTTGATAGCTTAAAAAAGCAGACATACCTCACCAAGCTTTTCCAATTTAACATACGTTTCCATTTTTCCAAATCCGATTTCAGACTGTAATAAAAACAAGGAATAAATACAATTAATTCATACAAAGATCAGTTTGTCTTCCTGAAGAATGTGTAACATTACATTATATTCATAAGCACACCTCAGTGTCTCTGAGCCATACTCATAATATTTGAATAGATAAGAGAGCTAAAAAATCCACTTAGATACATAAACTTTGCACTTTGCACTATATCTTTAGTAGTATTGTTTCCTTTGTCCACGTCAGTCTATTCACCATAGAACTTCATAAGAGAATAATGTGTGCTGTCTTAAAATGTTATTACTACCTCTATCAGGGCATATCATTGTTTACATATGATTAAGAAACTATTACTCTGCAAAACATAGAGGCATAGAAAGTGTATTAAAAATAATAGTCTTTTCATTTTCAAGGACTGAGTATGCTTCAGTCTGATCATTTATAGAAGGCCTGTTGAGAATGGACTAGAAGACACAACACTCTTCCCGTGGAGGTCCATTCAGCTCAATCTCTTTTGCATTCTATAAACAATTAAATTTAACAAACAGCCCTAGTTGAAAGAGTAACTATCAGAGGAATTTTGGATATATTTTAGTTTATACTGGCTTTTATTACTCATTTACTTTTTTGTTTATGCTTTTCTATTTACTACTTATATGCCAGCAATATAAATACTGTCAAATAAAATTTAAATTAATGAGCAAATTAAATCTTTGAAAAGTCGTAATACATATCTCTTATTGTGCTTCATACCAATTAGATATGATATATGATAACTAAGTGCTGTTCACTAGACAATAGTGAACAAATATTGCCAGTTGGTGAGCACATTTAGAATTCTGAGAATTTGACATGGGAATATTCCCCAAATGGCTAACTCAGGGAGCTGCCTATTTGCAATATGATTCACAGGAGGAACTTGCTGAATGATAACATCTCCATTTATCAGAACAGAAATGAATGAGCTTGTTTCAGGTATTCTTTCAAGTGACTTAGGATGCTCTTCACCACTGTTATTCTACTTTCTGGGCATAGGTAGTTTCTATAGAAATTTGATTTTTTTTTGTTAACCCAGAATGTCTCTGAGATTTACTTTGGAGCAAGAGGCATTCTTGGAAGAAGCATTTGTGCTTAAATGTATGTATTGTAGCAGCATGTCAGTTCCCCATTGTTGTTGCGGTAATTTTTAAGATTAAAAATCTTTCAGAAAAATTGAAATTAGGCTGTACAAGGAGTCTAATCAGATAAAGAAGGCTGTTCAGAACACACCCACAGGGGCTGTGCTCCTGATCTTTTATTAGGAAATAAGTTGCACTGAACCCAGTGGGACTTATTCCAAAGTTTAAAAAGATACTGCAGATGTTAAAAGTGATAGCCATCATCTTGAACTGCACCTGGAAAGCAACTGGAATCCAGTGCATCGGTGGTGTTCATCAGGTTAACCATGGAGCACTCAAAACTGCATTCTAAACCAACAGAAAGTTCTCTATGGATTTAAAAGACAATCCTCTAGAGGCAGAAAATGCATTGTGGTTGTTGAGTGAAGCAGTCACATGGTGTTTCATTTAACTAAGCTTTGTTTAACAACCATGATTCTTCAACCCAGCAGAAGAAATTTGATAGATTGTATGACCAATCGTGGTCATACAATCTATCAAATTTCTTCTGCTGGGCTGAAGAAACATATATTCAGTAAAGGAAGGCTGTGTGCAGCACTTCAGATTTGAAAGAGAAAAGTTTTTTACCAGAAAAACAGTTACAGATCAGATTTTGTCTTCAAGGAGTTAAGGAACTCCTCGGTGTGGACAGTGTCATGAATGGCTCTGATGAGGAGGAGACTGACGATGAGGAACCAGAATCAGGTCCAGAAAGACTGACAGATAATAAGCAACCAGCTCCAGCACCAACAGACAAGACGGCTCTCTCTGTGCAAGCAGAGGAGGCTGGACAGGCCAGTAATTGGCAGATGCAGCTACTATCAGTCTCTGAAGATGACAGTGCAAAATTGCCAATCCCTTCCATAGCATGAGCCCAGTAGCACAAAAGTAAGACTGCTCAAGTGGAAGGAATCCCACTAAAGAGACTACACCAGGGCTTTTTCTATTAAAGCAGAACAGCAAACACAAGCTCTCCATTGAGGACAACTGCCTGTTCATGCTCACTCTATATGCCTTGACTCATGAACCCTGCAACTCTGATTTTGCACTCGGATTGACGGTCAATTCCACCACAAGTTCTGACCTTTGGACTCCACCTGACTACTCTCCTATGTGTCACTTTGAATTGGAACTGCTGAAGTCTGCTGAAGTCTGGAAAGTACCTTGTTTCTATAATGCAAGTGGGTGTGTTTGCAAGTTTCATTTAGTAAACAGAGATTTAAAAAACCCAAACACATCTTTTTGTGTAGTTATGTGCATGCTTGACTTGGGAGAGAGGCCACTGAGACTGCCCTCCACAAGTGTGGTCTGATCCTTGGAAAAGATATGTATTTCAAGGTATCCTTTTCCCTTTGAAACTGAATAAGCCTTTAATTAGATAAATTAATAATAGCTCTTTAGAACAAAGCCCTGGTTATGGGTAAATCTTTGGAAGGCTGAATATCTTATAATCAGAAAGTAACTAAAAGTGAAAATAATGATGAAACAGTACTAAATGTTTTAAACCAATTTGTTTGCATAATTCATAATGAATTGGAGAATTTCAAAATCTATAAAAAACTTTTTTTTCTATTTATTTAAATAGAGATTATTTACTTTACTCATGATCCTAAACCCTACAGACAGTCCATGGGTTATGAATACTCATTCAGAGTATGATGTTGTGATGGAACTGAACAAGCGTTCTGAACAGTATTCAGAGTTCCAGCTGTCACAGCATCTCTGGATCATATGATTGATCCAGGGAAGAATCCGAGCATTTGGTGCCTGGCTCATGATTACAATACTGCAGCAAGACAAGGTCATGTGATTGTGATTTCTGATATTCACTGCCAGCTTTCCATAAGCAAAATTAATGGAGAGGCCAGCAGGTAGTTGGAAGTTACTGTTGCTGCTTTTTTGTCCACCCGCTCTCTGTAACACTTGAATGTGGTTCCTTTCACTCCCTTTGTAGCATCTGTGCTCCTTAGCACTGCTCATGGTTCCCTGCGGCACCTGTATTCCAGAACACTGCACAATCCTCATGTGCCTGTTGCTCTCACCACTGGCCTACTTGCCTGGGGCTTCTGTCTCTTAATGAACCGCAGAGTCCTGGGTTACGATGACAACCAGAACTGCAGGGTTGCCGTTTCTGGAGCCATGGTAGTGCAGTAACAAATACAGTATTGCAGGCTAACTCTGCCCACAGCCAGGCATTCTGGCTCAAGGTTGCCTTCCATCCTTCCGAGGTTGGTAAAATAAGCACCCAGATTATTGAGGGCAATGTACAGACTTTTGAAAACCACTTAAGGAGTACTATAAAGCACTATGGAGTGGTATGTAATTGTAAGTGTTGTTAATGTTGCTAAGCAATGTGGTCACCTGATATCGTGCTTTATGACCACATCTCCACAACAAAAACTGCGGTCCCAATTGCTGTTTAATGCCTGTATTTTATAAACATAGTTCATTATCCACTGTCTTGTTATTATACTTAACCAATATGAGATCCCATCCTCACATTTGTCTTCCTGTTTTTTAAACAAATTTCATAAGTATAATAGAGAAATCAGTTGAGTTCACACTTTATAATAAGCTAACATTTATGTTTGTTGCCTAGTTGATAGAGGATCCTAATGACTATAGTTTGTAAATCATGAATTAAAGCTTAGTATTAGGAGTGAATCTAGACCTTGAGCCTTATTTAATAAGAAAATAATATGTCATAAGACATATTATAATAAGAAAATAATATGTCATTTAATTAAATGAATTATACCACAGTTCAGCTACAAGGGCTCTGAGACACCTATCTTTTTGCTGTAACATATCTAAACTTCTGTTCTGCAATGAAAGTATGAAGGATATTGTAAAGTTATCTATTTCAAGTAAATAAGCTTACCAATGATGCTCTACGAGATCGTCGACTCATTGGTTGATCAAATGGTGGACTATTTATTTGCAACTTTTCAAGATATCCATCAGGTATCCTAATGTCTGCAGGCAGTGACAAACGTTTATTCAAGTCCTGGAGAAGTAAACCAACACTAGTAAGAGGGCATACATATTTTCAGAAATTGTTTCCATAGAAAAATAAAAATGTCAGTAAGTACTCAGTAATGTAGGCATAGTCCGTTACTGGTTAAGAACACAGAAATGAAGCAAACGGGGTGTTTCTATGGAAAAACACCATTGCAATGCTTCATCTGAAGTTCAAATTTTTACTTCTCAAAATAGCAAAAGAGAATTTTACTTTCTTTAATGGAAATAAAGGCTTTGTTTAACCTTGCCAATATCTGATTTACAAATTCTTTCTATGTGCTGCTATTTAATGGTTGACCAGATCTTTGCAGACTAAATCTGGCAATGCTATCTTAATATCCTTCACGTGTAGTCCAGAGTTCTTCATAAAAATTTAAAAATTTGGACCCGGGTTATGCAGATGTTATTTCGTGATGGCATAAAGGTATCATTGCAGGATATTCCTGGTCCAATGCCTTTTATATTTGACTGATGGTAAATATTCAAGTGGTGCTTCAGTTATTTTGGGATTGTACCCAGGATATTCTATTACTATTGGCACTATCTGCTTTCTTTTGCCACTATCCTTCTAGCATCATCTGGCATACAACTTCAATGAACCAGATTTTCTTCTTTTCAATAACTGATATACGAGGTCTGTTGTGAACAACATGCCTGTATGTTTGGATCTTAAAGTCCCATAAGACCTTAACCTGCTCATTTTCCAATATATCTCAACTTGAGAGTCCCAGTAGTTTAGTGGTTGAATTCAAATACAACCCTCTGGCAAAATTTCCAATGAATATTTTTGACAATTCGATCATAATGCTGCTTCAATTTGTGAAATTTTGCTGCAGCCACTGATCAAGTAGTCAATGGTTTCATCATTTTTATTGCAAAGGAAGTATTTGCTGTTGTTTGTTACATGTTGAGTTTTTGCCTTCATGGAATTAGTTGGCCAAGCTTGCTTTTCGAGCCACTAAAATAAAGTCTTCCGTTTTTTTCTTTTAACATTCCTGATCTTAACTAAATCCATTTGTGGTTTTATTAACTTTTCCTTCCATATCCTTCAAGTACCTTTTATTTATATCCTTCAAAACCACATCTTTCATGAAATTTTATATAACTGTAAAATCTCACAACTTCACTAAATTGAAAGTTAGTAGAGAAGGGCTAGGTCACTGAACAATGGTACCCAAGACCTGAAAATACCTTGGCAATTGGTTTATATTTATGACAGTTGCAGTATCCTGGGGTCATGTGAACAGTTTTTGCAACTTTCTGACAAGCAAAGTCAATGGAAAAGCCAGATTCACTTGACAACCATGTTACTAACTTAACTGCAGTGATTTACTTAACAACTGTGGCAGGAAAGGTCGTAAAGTGGGGCAAAATTTACTTAACCAATGTCTCACTTAACAATATAACTTTTGGGCTCAATTGTGGTTAAATGTCAAGGACTACATGTAAATGTACCTTGAGTCAGAGGTTCCCAAGACTTGGCCAATACAAGGCACTTTACTTTTTTGCATAAAGACATGGTAAATGAATAACAAAGTCTGTTCTCTATATAATCTAGTGAAACAACTGCTCTAGTGAAAATTGATTTCCAAGTGTTCTGTGCTATACATTAACCCGATGCTGAAAAAACTTTTTTTTAATCAAACCAAACACAAATGCTCAGGTTATATGCTATAACAGGAGTCTCCAACCTCTGGGCCATGGCCCACTACATATTAAGAATTGGATTGCGTGAGCAGCGGATGGTGCGCATGCGTGAGCTTGACTGGCACAAGTGGCAGGCCAGCCTGTGTCCACACGTTGCTCACACAAATTGAGATGTATGGATGCGAGTGCTGGCCCAGTTCCCCTCTTCCCTCTCCCGTCAGGCCAAATTGCAAAGATTGGGGACCACTGTGCTATAAGACAAAGTTAAGATTCCTACTTTTCCCTTGATTGAAGGAATCATAGGGCTCTCACCAGTGAGATTTTTAAAGTTATGTTATTGTTTAATTCACAATAGACAATTTTATGAGATAAAAATATTTACATTAATAGTAAAAAGTTAATTGTGTTCAAATAAAATTGTGCTCAAATAAAAATAATTCTAAACGTAAAAACTGTTAAGTTCTAAAAGTAAATGTAAGTCAGTTTTGAAATATGAATCATGGTAAATCATTTCCTTTTTATTATATCACTATGATCAAGGCATGACAGGAACATACTCAGCTAAGGAAAATGAATAATACTTTCCTTGCACAAAGTCTACTTTGTAAAGTCTACAAATTCTACTGCAAAGAATGACTCTAGGTAATTACTACTACCACATTTTAATCATCCTGTGTTGTCCAATGTCTTTATGAAATATAGGTAAATAAATGAGTTGGGGAAGAGTCTTGCATTGCAAAAACAGCTATCTCACACAATTTACATGACAATAGTTTCCTGTCTTTATTGGTCTTTCAAATTTTCAGTACCTTTCAAAGATGGTGATGTTATACTGACCTTCTTCAAATGTGCTTTTCTGTATTGTATTGATAATAAATTAATCATATTGATAAAACTGTTTATGCCTGTGATGCAGGCACTACTACTAAGGAAGATGGAACACCCAATAATATTTGTAGGCCTCACTGCTACTTCATGATACTAACGTTTAAGCATAACACTTGCCTGTATTTTTAACTCCGAAAGACTATGCAGTGGATTGTTTTTTTCCACAGAAAATACACTACATTTTTATGAAAAATTATATATTGGGCCAATGCTTTATGGATAAGAATCTCTGGACTGGGATACTAACACAAATCACTAGAAAATAACTTTTACAATGGATCTAGCAGGGGCAGAAGGGGGAGGAAAGGGGAGAAATCTCTGTGGCGTGAAGCTCTCAAATAAATGTACTCAACTTTTTTACATTTCTATATGGCGTGGTAGAGTTTAGTGCTATCATCACTAAGTCTTTGCTTGTCAGAAACTGTTTTGCTCTTTTGAATTTCACATGGCTTTCTAAGTCTCCCTTCCTAGGAATCTGCTGCACAACTCGAGGTTTCCTCATACAAGCCCACATTGCCTAAATCATGCCATTTACATCTATGGTCATATCATCTATCCTTTTCCAGGGAGTGCACTTTACACACATTTAAGATTCCAATGCATCGAAAACAGAACACACCTTCAAACAGGGCAGGGAGCATGAACAGACTGATTTTACAACAGAACTGTGTTACCACAAAAATGGGGAGGAATCACTATTCCACAGATAAAGAACATAAAAACATTATATTTAGCATTTTGAAATATTAGAGACTCTTAATTGTAGATTCTAGCATAGTTTTGGTGTGGTAATTAAAAATAAAAACTTCCCTATTTTAATTAACTAGCCAGTCAATCTTTTTAAATTGTTAACTGGATACATCAGAAAAAAATGTCATGTTTGAAATAAATTATCTACTGGACAGTGCATACTATCAGCAAACTGAAACAAAGATCTTAACAATTGGAGAATCCAAGTTTATAAGACACTATAAGAGATAAATTCTGATAATTAAGGACAGGACAACTTTCATATCCAAAATGTGATTTTAAAAGTGAATAAATAGAACCCTAACCCGATTCTATTGACAACAGAATGAAGATTTAAAAGCAGTTCTAATTCAGAATCATAATGAAGAAATATAAGTTATCATCTTTGATTTTTCTAAATTATCTTTATTTTCACTGCTTCATTTTCAGATTCCCACTGTAGAAACAAGCAGTTCTGCTCCTAAAGTATTTTTATTATTTCACCTCAAATTTTGTCAGACCCTATTGTATCTGACTGAATCTTTCAGTCCACGGACAATTGTGACAGGCATCTTTATTAGCTTTAAACCCCAAAGAATTTTAAATGAATGAATGAAAACTATATGTTATAGCACATGTGTAATTTTTTCAAATGGTTCATACTACTGTATTATTTTGTACCTATGTCCAAGTGTCAACAGATTTTATATAGGAAAACAGACACCTCATGACATATTTTGGCCTTTTAAAAATATTTGTAATTGCTTTAAAAAGTAACTGAGGTCAGTGGTCACCATCTTGGGTGTTCTATGGCTGTTCTAATACCAGCAAATAATGCATTGCTCATCCATGAATTATTAAGAATATTATGCTTTCACTATTGTGTATGTTAAAGGGTGTAAAAGACTTCCAGTTTAGATCTTTAACTTGAAACAGAATGAATGCCAATATTTCCCTCCCTCCTTCTTCTGTTCTTTCAGATTTTACCAGCTTGCCAAGGCTTTGATTATATTGTTGGTAGATAAGCTAAAACTATAATAATACAAAATGTTTATCACTCAGCTCAATATGGAAAATATGTTAATTAATCGTGTTAAACATATTGGTTTAGTTACTGATTTAACCAAATCATAGTTAAGCTTTTGAGTCAGCTCTAAGAAAATCACAGTAAAAACAGCATTTGTATTTTTAATGAAAAACATGTTTAATTCAGAAAGCCACAATTAAAAGAATATATATTTAAATTAGAAGTTTAATTTGAATATAGATTCTTAAATTGACAAAACATTATTTCAAATTTTACTGTAATTTTCAGAAATACTGGCATTCATACAGATTTTTATAAATGAAGGAAATTAAGTACCTTTTCCTCCTTTTGTTTACTGTCATGAACAATTCCGTTTTTAAACAGGAAAAGAGAAATCTGGGGAAGTCAAGAGCTTTCCCATTGTACTCAGTTTTGGAGTATTGTGCAGATTAATAAGCAGCATTAAATGAAAGCGTCATGAGTAAGAAATTGTCTTTCCAAATTTACACATTTCAAACTAAAACCTACATTGCCATGTTTTCAGTTGTAGCTCAATTTTCAAGGTTCTGCCTAACTTTGATTTCCCAATAAGTCCAAAGAGAGGAAATGTTCTTGAAGCATAGTTATCTACTTCCTTTGCCATTATTTATTATTTAACTTTTAGTAGTACAACTTTCATTCACACAAGTGTTCTGCAAACAGTAAATAAAGTTATTTTACGGCTAGCCAATTCAATACAAGGAAATGACATCACTTGAGTGAAGAACCCAATTCTGGATACACTTCTAACTGCTGTTTGTATTAAGTTCTTTTTAAAAAAGTAATTTGTGCCAGGAAGAAATACTATTCAAAACTGTGAAGCCATATATTTTTATGCAATAGTTATATTAAAATTTCAATGATTTCCAAACAGTTGCTAAACGTGATTCAAATAGTTGAATAGTTAACAAACAGGATCCCTCAAGGACTACTTCTACTTCACAATAAACTTTCTTGATCACAAAGGACTGCACTAAAGTTCTCTGCTACATCATACTGAAGGCAGAGATACATTTTGTGGGAACAAAAAGGAAAGGGGTTTTAAGAGGTCAGATCTAACCTCTGGAATAGCCTTTTCTGACAAGTCGTTGGGAAAAATCTTTGGACTGTGCAAAGGTCCAATACAGCACATTCTAGAAAAAAATTAGATTTTTTTAGATCTAATTTCTAGCAGAAATTAGATATATAGAAAGAATAAATAGAAAGAGTGGAGTGAACTTACCTGATGGTTATATACATTGAAAAATACTACACTATTTCGCCTTACTGCCTATCTACCAAATGAAACAATAGCACGATTATTTGGCTTTGCTAAAATAATGACTATAAAATTCTTTCAGCTTTCTCTTTGCTGGATCACAATCATGTCTGTCTTACTAATAGCTAGAAAAAGACAAACAGTGCCTTTTGTTTTTTTATAACTGCATGTGGGGGAATGGACGCTATTTTGTTTTCATTTGCTTTCTTATTTCTTCCCAGCAAATTTTTGAAAATATGTATTTATTAAGAATACATTAAAAATAAATTTTATCCCAGTTGCCTGACAACTCTAACTCTAACCCTAGAGAGATACACAGTCAGTTACAAATCTATTTACAAATGCTTTTATCAGCCTCTACATTATTTCTATTTCATCTCATGGTTTCATATTTTGAGAAGCTGCTTCCACATTATTTTGATTGTCTGAAATTTTCATCATCATAGCTATTGGAATCAAACACATATTATATTAAGCTACAGGTTTGGACTTTCAGGCTTAGTGTGAACCCATCCAAAGTGGCTTTTTCCACTGTAGTGGCAAAATAAAGCAAACCATGGCTTATCACAACATATAAATGCAGTCATAATGTACCATGTAATAAGCTGTTTTTCCTGTAATTTCAAAATAAACAGACATTTCAGAATCCTTAGATTAGATGTGACAGAACAATTTTCAGATGAAGTATTTAAAAAGGAAAAGAAAATCCAGTACAAAATTCAAAGTAGGCAACATTCTGTCTAGTCTCACACCTTTCTTATTCAGATAAAAGCATTTAAATGTCAGCAAATCTGCCAAGGAAGCTGAAATTGCTCTAGGCTTATTTTCCTACTTCCTCTTAATTACACCTATAGAATGCTTTGTGATAAAACATATTTACCAACAGAAAACAGCTCTAATGACTGCCACAACTGAACTTCTTGTCAAACAGTATAATGCTTGAATAACCTTCCTTAATGAACTTCAGATGTGTTGGACTATACCATTCCTAAGAGCCTATCAGTTCTAACCAGAAAAAATAGTTCCTGGCTGGGAGTTATAAGAAATGCAATAAGCCCTTTGTCTTCCAGAACTCTATACCCATATCCTTTCACCATGTATCCCTAATATACCTGAAGGGTTTCAGAATGAATAAATCTGATTTACAAGAAAGAAATGCAATATATCAAATATATATCAATATATCTTTCTTCAACCTGCTTCTTTTCAGCTGTGTTGGATTACTTCATCTCCAATAACTAACTGGACAGAATTGATGGAAATTCTATCTAGGGCATGTTATGTTTTATACATTACACATTTAATAATAACTTTCAATTAAAAAAAATCAGATTAAATCTGTTGTACAGGATTAGTTATTTCTGAACATCAATAGCTTTACTTTAAAACACTCTAACTGGGATAAAAGTAATGCAAACAAATCCCAAGTCTTTTGTTAGGGTAATGCCTCTTCTATAAAAAACTAGATTACCTCCATAGATATTCGTCTGTGTATCCTGTTCCTGAGACAAACACCTGTTGGGGACTGAACTTCATCAGATGATGTTCCAGAAGCTTGGTCACTTTCACCATCTGATCCCATTTTTAGGTTTTCGTGTACAATATCTAAATTGAACAAAACCAATAATTATTTAACTGACACTTGTGAAGGAGTTTCCATTACTGAGTGATAGTTCTCAGGCTTTAATGTGACTCTCTGTCAGTACAGAGCAAACCAGCTTACTCTCTGTTATTCTTTGGCAGGTGACAAATATATTTTTATTTAGACATATTTTACTAATTCAACTGGTTTCTCTGCTGAGGCAGATTTTAAAATTTTACCTGTAATTGTTTATGTGCTTTTATATATTACTTTTATTTTTTCTTTTATTTGTATTTTATTGTCAGTCACTCAGATTATATTTGGAAAAACAAAATATAAATTCAAACCAAATTACAGATCATTAGTACTTTGGAACTATAAAATGTTAGTTCAGTTACAACACTTTTGTCCTATCCTGTATCAGTCTTCCATCCTTCTGAGGTGGGTAAAATGAGGACCCAAATTGTTGGGGGCAATATGCCAACTCTATAAACTGCTTTGAGATCTAACTTCTCTCTCTCTCTCTCTCTCTCTCTCCCTCTCTTTCTCACTCACTCACACACACACACACACACAAACAAACACACAGAGGCAGCAGTGGGATTAAAATTTCTTAACAACTGGTTCTTGGGCATGGGCTAAGATTAGCTAGAAAACAAGAAATCCAACGATTTCCTGCTAAATCTAAATCTCCCGGCACAGCAGAACAGCTGATGGTCGGAAAAAGGAAAAATAGCAACTTAGCAGGCAGGTTTGCCAGGTAAAGAATAAGTGGGCTGGGAGGGTTCCCATGGGCCATGTCGGAGGTGCAGCCTTATGTTCCTGCATAGCCTGGATTAATTGCTTTGGGGGGGGGGGGTGCTCTGGGGGCGACATTTCTCTGCAGATCACTAAAATGTTCTTGTGGGCCACCAGTGGGCTGTGGCCCACCAGTTGGCGACCACTGCTGTAAAGCACTATAAAGCAGTATAGAAGTCTAAGTGCTATTGCTATTAATTGATAACTGATCTTTAATTTCATAATCTTTAAAAAACCAAACCAGCAATGTACTCTTCATACAGCAAGAAAAAAGAGCTGTATTAAATTAAAATGTAAAATTCTAATCTTCCAAATATTCAGTATAAAAGGAGGCATTTATTAAGAGATGATAAAAGAAATTGAACTTAGATAAATGTTTGGCGACAGACATCTTCAAATAGCAGCATTGGTTATTTGCCAATAACTACAGTATTTGCTACAGTAAGTATCAAACTGAAGCTGTTAAAAATGTTCTTTCCTGAACAACAGAAGAAAATGGCAAAAAATTAACATTTTTCTAATAAGAAGTATCTTGTGTTTTTGATTAGCTTCTATATGCACCATTTAGATATAACAGTGACTGGAAAATAGATGGCATATTTGAGGGAAGTTTGACCAAAGTTCAGCCATCATATTTCTAAATTTAGAAAAACTAGTTTGCAAACAAGTTTTGCCAAAAAATTCAAGTTATACTGTAGAAATATCCAATTACAAGAGGTAATCATTTCATCTCTTCCTACCCTCTGCATCTTTCTTGTTATTATCCCCCCAATATTCCCCTTTCAATTCTTTCATTTTATGGGAGGTCTCTGTGAACACTAAACTGACCTCCAGATGCCTATAATCTTTATTTCTAGAAAAGGAAAGGTTTTTAGCTGCTGGGAGGGACAGACACATTTTGTGGAGTAAAAATGGCACATAGTCACAGATTCCCATCCAACCCGCAACCCCCATAGAGAGAGTTATCATTGGGCACTTAATCTCCATTATATGTTAGATTAAACTATAAAAAAGCCCCTGTCTGAGGGAGATAAGTGGTTAAGAAAGATGAAATATAAATAAATAAATAATAATAAAGGTCTATTAAATATTTTTGGTACTTTTTATGTACTTTAGTACTACTAATTACTAATAAATAGCATTTCAAAGGAAATTAAATCTGAATGAGGTATAATGCAGATAAAAAAATGTGTAATAAAATTGGATAGTCTTGCATTTACTGTATGACAATATGCATTTTAATAAGATATACAGGAAACACCGAGGAAGATCAAGACATTGTTTGAAAAGGCCATCTATAGATGTTTTGTTTTCAGAACTAATGTTCAAGACACCAAAAATTTTAATCATTCAGTTTTTTAGTATAGAAAAGGGACTAAAGGTATTTATTTTTACATTACAATTCTGAAGCTTATAGTTCATCAGAAATCACAATTGTCTTCTGAGATGGATTTGCTTTGGTCTACAGAATTGAAAATAAAATATCTTTAATCCCGAATAAGCTTTTATTTAAAAGCAAAAAATGATTTTTTAAATTAACAAAAAGCACTGTACAGTAAAAATAATTCAAATTAGGCAAAAAAAAATCTCTTTCATAAAGCTTATTTAATAAAATTAAGTTACAGATGCAGGAAATGGGCCAGACCAATCTTTACTTCTCCTTATTGATAAAACAATACTCTATTCACAAGAAATGTTTCTATGTCACAAGCTTATTGACATAAAAATTACACCTCTGGGAAACTTAATTCAGACAAAGAACAGGCAAGTCTGACAGTTAATTTTTCTGTAAGGAGAGGAAGAAGACCTCATGCACTCATGAATATTTAAGCAATATGCCATGGATACAGTAACATAAATCCATATAATTGATTTAGACAACAATATAATTGAAAACGGATGGTTTGCTGATAGATATAGGAAGGGACTGGATTGGCTATGAGCTCTGGGCAAGCAGATTTTCACAGCTGTCAGTTCAAGCTAATGAGCTCAAGATACCCTGTATTATCTTTTCTTCATACTTAGAAAAGCCATTCATAAATGTTTATCATATGAATGGGAAAAGGAACTGAAAATAAGACTGTTGATGTAGCAATGTCCATATATAAATGTCAGATACCACTACTCTTTATATACTATGTGCAACTTGGATCAACATACTTGCAAAAAGACACATGAAAGTGAAAGTAGAGCAGCACACTTTCAAGAAAATACTAGAAGGGGGAAAAGAAGAGTGATAAAGGAATAGCTCTTTAGATTATATAAACATTGAGTATTTTTTGGCATAAAATGCCGTAATGGATCCAAGGTCCTGGAGGATCCGATTTTAATTTATCACTTTTGTGTGACAAAACGGGTAGAGGCTTGCAGGCATTCTTTCCATTGTTCTACTCATATTTTGGAACAGCCTTCTCTAAAACGATGATTTATCCCATCTTTCCTTAAATTATTAAAAAATGAATTTCAGTGGGGCACTGCGAAGGGATGAGTTGAGGCTACTGCTTGACTGTGTAATTATTTGTTAATTTAAGAATCTGTTAATGTGTAATTTTGTAAAACATGTTGATTGTTTATATACTATAGATGTTCATTGTAATTTACTGGGTCAATGTAAGTGGCCAAGTGTTTTTTTGATTGTAGAGGGAAAATCTAATAAACAAATAAATAAAAATTATGGTACCCAAGTTCATGGTAAACTGGCCATGAATCACTATTAATTTTGATGTCTAGGCAGACTTCACTGAATAAGAATCATATAATAAGCAACAACTGCTGGGCTGTAACACTGGAGAACTGTCACTGTTTTGTAATATTGTCCCCACTACGGAGCTTCCTAAGTACACTGAATGGCTGCTGTCTAACAGAAAATGTTAAAAAATGTACTCTTAACCTGAAGCAGCAGGAGGAGAATTAACACCCAGCTGATGTGGTACTAGCACAATGTGGTAGAAGTGAGTTTAGATTATTTCCTGGTTTATTTATTTATTCAACAAGGTTTATTCATACAATTATTCTAATATCATAGCCATCATATTTGAAATTCCTGCTTTACACCATTTGATATGCAATGAACATATCTAATATCTTAATTTGGAGCTGGTATTCCACACGACTGTTATACTAGTTATTACAGCATAAAGGTAAGAAAAGAAAAAAGAAAATCTATTAATTTAAAGAATATTAAAAACGCACATTACCTAATCTGCTCCCATTTCTTGGCATTGCCATAAAAGAACCCAGACTTCCCCCTATAACGCTGTGTGGTCTTCGTAATGGAGGTTTTTTGAAGGATCCTGTATACTGATGAAGAAATGAGTGCATGCTGTGTGATGTTGGAGGTCTGCCATTCTTCACAATGGGTTCTATGATTTGCCAGCATCAGACAGTTCATCCCAAAACAGAGAAATTCAGCAACATGTTGAGAAAGAAAACAGAAGAGTCAACGTACAGCCATATTTGGAGCACTCATGTAAATTGTCTATTAACTTTTCTTTGGGGCATAGGACAGAACTATCTTGCCTACCTACTCCCTCAGCCGTGATGCCTGACACGGAGCCTCTTCTCTAGTGCTCGATCAGTTATAATGCAAATTAGCTCTAATGGGTTGACTGAGAAAGCGTTGAAAGGACAGGGTTGTTTTCTAGACTTAAAGTACACCAGTATTTTTAAATAATAAAATAAAGCTTTAAGTAATGAGAAATTAAAGGTCTGATTGGATTTGTTACCAAATATATATTGAAGCCATAGCGTATACCACCAAATTGACTAAAGTTGGTGCATAGGTGCATGGCAAGAAGACTTCCTAAATGAAATGGCTGAAACTTGCAGTGATAAAAATTTTAAAGTATTACAGAGGACACCAAATGAGTAGAGGTTAAATGGCCAAAGAAAGGGAAAAGAAGGGGACCAGGAAAATATAATGATATGAAGAAAGAGAAGAAGTGCTGTGACAGTAGCTTTCATTTTGTTCCTCATATAATTTCTCATATATCCACATAACTATTAACTATACTATTTATGGGGGAAAAGATGAAGATATTAGCATTCTGCTTAACATGAATCAAATGTTAATACCACATTTTGTACTGTCTTGCATTTGATAGTGCTCCAACACTTTGTGAAACATACTAAGTTCGGGCAGGGGGTCCTTGGTGGTCTCTGAACTTTCTTTCTTTCTTTTAGATGTTTCATTACCCAAACTAGGTAACATCATCAGTGCACTGGCAGTGTAATACAATTTGGGTAATGAAATGTCGGCAAGAAAACAACCTAGCTCAGAGAGCACCAAGGACCCCTCATTTCAACCTTGAACTACAAATATTTTCTTCTATCGGAACATAGAAAGTTAATAAGAGCATTCAACCATTTACAAACCATTGTGAAAATCTTCTGATGGCTACATAATGTTAACAGAGTTTATTAAAAGACTCTTCCTATTGCTCAACCACAATCCATTTGTGTTCATTTAAGGATAATGTTCAGCAACTCATCTTCTTTTCTCTAAAGCAAGCTATAGGGTGGTTTGTCGAGCATCCTATATTTTACGTGACTCTGATAATAGCTTTTGTTAGAATCAGAGTGAATTCCAGTGCTTCAAAAACATAATGTTTAGTCAGCATTTTTCATCTAAAAACATCCTTAACAGCAATAGGAAGAATTCCCTCTTGTAATCTGAAAATTCTGACAATTGAATTCTGCTGTGTTGGTGTAGTGTCGGGGATTTTCAGTTCAATGTGTGAAAGGTGAAGGATGTGTGTTTGTGTATATTTTCATGGTCATGGTCATGATGTGCACTGAAGATGGTCTTTGATTTTGTTGTACGAGCTGCAATGACAATACAGTAAACTAAACAATGCATACTCAAAATCAAAAGACAGACAAAACAGAAATAGCTATATTTGATAGTCATCATCATCACTATCACCATCATCACCATAATTTCATGATGCTAATATCAGTGTAGTCAAGACTGGTATTTTATTCTCTCTGAAGTTTTAGACAATTACAGTCAGGGAATTCTAGATAATTTCTAAATTGATAAGGGATTCACTTGTCAGATATGTGGGCATTTCACTGCTCATATAAGACAGGAGAAACAATAATGAATAAGATGTGAAAGCCTGGAAAAAAGAAGATAAACCATTTTCTCCCACACACTTCCCTTGTTTTTTCCAGTTCTAAATATCTTTAAAAATTTCCCCTTCTTTGCAAAGATCTCAATCTATGGTTTGAATACTTAATTTATTTTACAATATTTGTAACACCCCCCCACCCTAACAGTTCTGAATGGAGTACAACAAAATAAATCACAAAAGACAAACACAAAAAGCTCAATATAAATAATTCAAGTAATGTAGTTATCTCTTTAGTGTATATCCTGATATTATTATTATTTATTTTTATAAATAACTTAAATCAGCAAACATACCTAATATTCCTTCCTCCTTCTATTTTCCCCACAACAACCCTGTGGGGTGAGCTGGATTGAGAGAGAGTGACTGACCCAAGGCTCAGCCAGTTTTTCATGCTTGGGCCAGAATTTATAATCTCCTGGTTTTTAATCTTATGCCTTAACTACAAACAGCAAAATAATCAAATCAAATCTAATAATTCACACTGATTTAACTTGTTTATGAAATGTCAGCTGGTAGTCATTTGTATCTCTTGACGGAGGGCATTTCATAAAATGGGAGCTACCAAGAGAATATTACAATCACCGGGTCTATGCTCCATGTATCTTATGAGGATTTGAGATCTGCACCAAGTCCTAACTTGATGACCAGGTGGATGGGTTCAATTTGGCCATATAGTATCTATATATGTTAGAGTTAATTTGCAGATTGCTTTAAAGATTAAAAAAAAGCCTAACATCATTAAGTGAAATAAAAAAATTTCTTTATGTGACTTCATTTCCTTACTCTGTATAGCTTCTTGTCTAATGCCTTGTGATGAATTCTCATATGGAGCAAGTCACAATTCCCTAGAGGAGGAGGATGTCTATACACAATCTAATTATGTGGAAAAGAAGCAAAACTGTGTCCATATGACACATGAGTAGTTACCAGGTAATAACAATAGTTTGCAGTGGGAACTGATTTGGTAACCCTGCTCTTACTTTATTCATAAGAGAGGAACAAAGGAGGCAGCAGATTTTAGGCAAACAGTATTTTCACTCAATTCAAAATGAAGCAGTTGCTTAGGAACAAGATGAGGAAGCATTTTATATAACAAGATCGTGAATTAAACCCTTTGGCAGTAAAAAGATGTGGAAGCTCTACCGAACTTCCTTCTTGTAGTGTATTGTTATTTGTAAAGTATTATGTATGTCTATTGAATCACTTTCAAAATAAAGAGCAATGATGCCCATAGCAGAACATAGCATTACAGTATGAAATCTACTTTGAAACATATAGACACGGTACACTGCAAACAATAAACTGGTCCATAATGGTGCTGTAAAATAATCCCAAGGGCATTATTTAATTATCATCTGAAACAATTTTAACACGAGTCTATACTGTTGTACAGTATGTTTTGTTACTAAAATAACATGTATGTTGTAATCATTGTAAACCTCCTTTAATATTGGAATAAACAGAAAGATGCTAATATTAAACAAAATAATAATCAAAAGCTTATTATAATTTTGTGAATATAATCCACAAATCTTATATTATAAATTGTTCATTTTATAATTTAAATTTTACTTTAACTTGCTACAATCTTATTTTTGTTGCAGAAAAACCCAAAAAACCACGACACCTCCTTTGCACTTATGACTGTAGTAGTGACCCCGCAGCCACATAATAAAAATTCAGACACTTTGACAACCAGCATGTATTTATGGCAGCTACAGTGTCCCAAGGTCATGTGATTGTCATTTACAACTTCCTGGGGGTTCCATCCAACAAGCAAAGTCAATGGATGGATCAAATAATTGACATGGGTGGCAGAGAATGGGAGCAATGACAGGAAATGTGTGGTGATGTAAATACACAAAATGTTGTAACTAAAGTAAGTAATCATGGCATTTGTGTGATTGTGTTATCATATATCATTACAGTTTGCTGCAGGTGCCATTGGAATTTATTTGAAACAGATTTCAACAAAACATGAATGCTGGTTTATCTTTGCAGCCAGCTACTGTACGGTGGTTCAACTGTATCAAAAGGCACAACTTATGTTTGCATTTCTTGAAGTACATACAACTTGGGGTACTATACCAATTTGGATAAGACAATTTAGATGATTTTGTCAAGTCAGATGCTCATTTCATGTTTCCACACATCCTGAAGCACCTTTTCTAAACTGAATCTGAAGCATTCCACTCTCAAATTATTTCTATAGAACCTTTGAAGTGCTAAGAGCAGTTTAGATAATGATCACTGAAACAATGCATGTATGCATTTCTAAATATTGCACCATGTTATAAGTTAGGGTAGAGAGAAGGAAAATGTGTCTATACCTGTTAAACAAAATTAGAATTCCAAATTTCTACTGCAGAATGGAAAACCATTTTGTAATAATTCATATATGAAGTTGAACTAAGTAACTATAGTTTAATTATTTTTTTTGTGAAATCTGATTATCCTATTCTACATCTGGATGTTATATGGGAACTCACTGCAATCTCAGGTATCCTAGGTTCCTATTCTATGCTGGAGAGGACTGATAACTGTCATATTTACTTGTAGTAGTTTGCATTTCAATTGTTTCCTTTTTCCTTTCTATATATGCTCAGATACCTAATGTTCTCTTTACTTCTGCAATTATTCTTTTTATCTAAAAGATTTTAGTTTCCATGTATGCATACTTACTTAAAAATGGAATTTACAACAAGACTCTGTTCTTCAGGACATCACAGTAACAGTTCGATCCATTAACTATAAAATAACTGCCTATTTAATAGCACATAGAAGCTACACATTATAATTCATTTCATCTTTGTTTCAACAGTAAAAGGAAAAGTGACATACAAGTAACAAGGGCTCTTCTACCATGAATGCATGTATGCAATAGTTCTAGTGAAACTGCATGTTCCATAAATCAGCAGAAGCAGATATAACCTCTATACAATATATGTAACCTCTATACAGTATATGTATATATTTAAACATCACATCTTGAAGGGAGGCATGGGGGCTCAGTGGCTTAATGATGCTGGAGATGGTCTATGCTCCAGTGGTTCGAACCCTACCATTGCATAGTGGGATGAATGCCCGTCACTCGTCTCAGCTTCTGCCCACCTAGCAATCTGAAAGCCTGTTCTATGCAAGATAAATACCACTTCGGTAGGGGAGACGAGCTGGTGCTTCGTGCAGGTGGTCAGATTCCTACCAACTCTGAGTCTTCCCGGT